TTTCTCTCATTCACTTCTGGTGTTTTTATTTCCTCCAACCTTGGGTAGTTTCCTCACACACATTTACACATTAGTACTCAGCCAAAGCCTAGAGAGGACCCCTCTGAAAATCTCCAGAGTGCTCTCTCTGTGCATCTCTCCTCCCCAGCATTTTGCCCCACAAATTCTTGTCATGCTGGCAACTTTGTCTCCTCAGCCCAGTGAGACTAGTAGACCACTTGGCTCCTCCCTCCCTGTGCTGCAGCCTGGAAACTCTCACTAAGCAGTAAGCTGGGCAGTTGCAGGGCTGCCTCCTTTCTTTCCCTCCTGTCTTGTGCTGCCTACTGTCCAGTGTCTGAAAACCTGTTTCATGTGTTTTGTCCAGTTTTCTAGTTGTTTAAGGCAGGAAAGTATATGAGGGTACTTCAAAAAGTTTATGGAGGCTGGCTGGTTTGCTCAGTTGGTTAGAGTGTGGTGATGATAACACCAAGGTTTGGGGTTCAATCCCTGCACTGGCCAGCAAAAAAAAAAGAGTTCATGGAAAAATAGAATTAAAAGGTAATACAAATTTTTCCACGAATTTTTGGAATACCCCTGATATTTAGTTTCTGATACTATCATGGTTGGAAGCAGAAATCCACATTTATTAACTTTAATAGTTTTTCTGAGGATTTTAGATTTTTTTCTACAAAGTTTTATCATCAACAAATAATGAGAATTTGATTTCTTTCTTTACTGTTCCTCTATTTTTTCCCCCTTATTATACCATTGGCAAAGACCTCTAGTATACTGGTAAATAGTGGCTTTAGCAGGTATCCTTGTCTTGTTCTTGATCATAGAAGGTTTTATATTTCATCAGGTAGGATCTTTACTACTTTTTTATTGTGGTGGTAAGACATACGTAACGTTAAATTAATCATTTTAACCATTTTAAATTATATAATTCAGCGGCTTTACATACATTCACATTGTTGTGCAACCATCACTACTGTCCATGTCCAGCACTTTTTCAATATCCCAAATAGAAACTCTGTACCCATTAAACAAAAACTCTGTATTACCCCTCTCCCCAGCTCCTGGTAACCAGTAATCCACTTTCTACCTCTATGAATTTGATTGTTCTAGGTACTTCGTATAAATGCAATCATATAGTATTTGTCCTTTTGGATCTGGTTTCTTTCACTTAGCATAATGTTTTTTGTAGTTATTTTGGGGGCTTTTAAAATTTTATTTATTGAATCAAAATCGATTATATATATTTTGGGGGTTGAACATTGAGATATGTTGATCAAATCAATATTACTAGCATATATATTGTTACAAATCATAATTATTCTTTATGCCCCTTGTCCAATCTCTCCCCTTCCTCCATTCCCTCCCCTCTCCCCCCTCTAATTACCCTAGATTTCTCCTCTCCTTGTGAAAGAATAATGGTTACTCTGTTGATTTATTGCCTAGATATGTCCAGTGCTGAAAGGTGTGATCAGGTCCCCTGATATTATCATAGAGCAGATGCTTCTTCTGTCACTCTGAAATGGGCTTTGTGGAGAGAGACATCCTCTTCTTTTCTTTTTTTCTGCTGGTGACTCTCCTTGTATGAATGCACTCCAGTGGCTGGTGGATGATCTGCGTGGTGGTTGTGGCATCTAGCCACCTTCACAGCAGCCATGGTTATTGTGGTGGCTGTGGTGGGCCACAAAAGGGAGGTAAAGTTTTTGGCATGCTCCTTGGTGCTGGCAGTGTGCCTGATTCTGGGGTGTGTCTGGTCCCCTTCTCCATGCCTTGGGTCCCCAGGTGGGCCCTGAGGGACTGGCGTGGTGTGCCTGCTTGTGGGAGAAGGGTCTGGTCCCCTTCTCCATGCCTCGGGTCCCCAGACAGGCTAGCATAATGTTTTGAAGGTTCATCCATGTTATAGCATGTATCAGTACTTCATTCTGTTTTAAGTTGAATAATATTCCACTGTAGGGATATATACCACATTTTATTTATCCATTCATCTGTAGATGGACATTTGGGTTCTTCTCAATTTTTTGAGGAACTGCCAAACTGTTTTCCAAAGCGACTGTACCATTTTACATTCCCACCAGCAGCATAGGAGGGTTTCAGTTTGTCCACATCCTTGTCAACTCTTGTTATTGTCCATCTTTTTGATTGTAGCCATCCTAATGGGTGTGAAACAATACCTCATTGTGGTTTTGATTTACATTTCCCTAATGACTAATGAATGATGTTGAACATCTTTTCATGTGCAAGTGGCCATCCATATACCTTTGGAGAAATGTCTGTTCTTTGGAGAAGTCTTTTGCCCGTTTTTTAATTAGGTCTACTTTTTATTTCACGTATATTAATCATAATTTTTTTTTTTTTTGTCTTTTTTTTTTCCGTGTCCGGCAACGGATCGCAACCCTCAGTGTTGCCCCCGTACCAGACCGGGGACCGGCAACGGGATCGCAAGCCTCGGTGTTGCTCCCGCTCCTCGCTCAGCCAGTGAGCGGGAACCAGTCCGTATGTGGGATCCGAACCCTCGGGCGGGAGCGCCGCCGCGCTTCCCAAGCGGCGCACTATCCAGTGCGCCACCGGGCCGGCCCTAATCATAATTATTTTAAAGTCTGTGTCTAATAGCTCCAATATCTGGATCTTCTGTGTGACTTCCTGTTGTTGTTGTTTTTTTTTTCTCTTAGTTATTGGTTATTTAGTCTTGTCTTCTGATATGCTGGATAATTTTAGATTGAATGCCAAACGTTGTGTAAGAAAACTTGTAGAGATACTTTGAAGTTCTGAGTGGTATTACTTTCCTACAGAGAATTTATTTTTGCCTGGGGCAAGCAGGGAGGGTGGGAGCAGATCATCTTAGCCTGACTACAGATCGAAAGTATTTGAATCTTGACTTCAAGTGAGGGATGGTCTGTTTCCATTGTACCCTTCTTTTTAGGGTGTCGGAGATCCTAACTAAAAGCTGGATTTTTCCGAAGACCTGTCCTCAGCAGGTCTGAGCTCCAGTTTTTGTCCTTGCTTTGTGAAACTGACAAAACCTCTCAGCTGCTTAGCCTTAAACCACCACTTCCTGTTCGGCTTCTATGCAGTTTGGTTTCTCTGCCTCCAAGCCACAACTTTGTAATTTGCATGTGTCTGAAGAGAAAAAGCAGCATCAGATGTCAGCCTTATCTTTCCGCTTCTCTCCTCTCTAGGATCTTGGTCTTCAAGTCCTTGCTGCCTTGATAGCCCTCCATTGCATTCAGAAACTTTTCTTTAAAGACAATTTTATCTAACTTTTCTAGTTGTTCTCAACAGAAGTTGGTCTGACATAAGTGCACCCACCATCACTGGAATTGGAAGTCTCAAATAGTTTGTTTTTTTATACTTTGTCCGGGTTTTGTTAGTCCTTATCAGTGCAAGAGTTGGTTATAACCACCTAGTCCACCCATTCTAGAAGGAGAATACTCAAGCATTTTAACTTAAAATATTTGTGTGTGTGTTTATCACTAATTCTTTGATATAGAGCCAATCCTTCTCTTAGAGTAGAGTCCACCAGTTAAGGTTCATCTGGTCTTAAACCACATCCATAATGTATTCTTTATAGGGTATAGTTTCCATTTCTTTAAAGTGGAGACATAATTTAAAGATACTTGTGAACCAATCTGATTGCAGATTCTTTTTAGATTTTTATTATTTACTATCCTAATCTTTTATAACTATTTCACCCATGTTTAATTTGACAAATGTTATTTTTAGCAACTCATTTTTATCTAGTTTTTCCAAAGCATTCAACATGGCTTCTTTAGAAATAACAACGGCCTTTCTTTTTGCATGTATTTCATCAGTTTATAAGTTTAATAAAATTACATAATTACAATAAACAGTACAACTGGCATGAACAGGCTTGAGAACAAATATAACTAACCCTTGGTTTGGTAAGCATAGAACTCAAATGGTGGGAGCAGAAGATTGTCTTACCAGCAGCAAGGTTTTGGCAAACCATGGACATTGGTTAAAATGTTTTATGGGGGAATGGAATGTGCCAGTTAGTAAGTTAAGTGGTTGTTGTGTAGGACACCATGTACAGGTCTATGAGGCTGGGGTAGCAGCAGCACAAGGAAGAAGAGGAAAAGTAGCTTGTGGAGATGTAAAGTTCTTAAAACAGTGCCTGATATGTATAAGCACCTATTAAGGGTAAGTCATTGGTATTATCCTGATTATTTCATAATTATTATCTGGGATAATAGGAAGCACAGATCTAATTCCTTCCCTAACCCAGCCCCCCTGCTCTGAGCCCAACCTCTTTTTTTTTTTTTGGCGTGTGGCCAGTACAGGGATCTGAACCCTTGACCTTTGTGTTACATGGCAGCGCTTTGACAAACTGAGTTAACCAGCCAACTCCTGAAGCTCTTATAAAAAGAGCACTGTGGGAATAACAAACTATGGTACATCCATACAATAGAATACTTCTCAGCAGTAAAATGGGATGAGCCATTGAAACACACAACAACTTGGATAAATCTGAGGCATTATGCTGAGTGAAATGAAAGAAGGCAGTTGCCTGTGAAAGAGGTTGCGTATGGTATGAGTCATTTACATGACATTTTATAAAAGCAAAACTATAGTGACAGAAAACAGATCAGTGGTTGCGAGGGGCTGGGGGTGACAGGGGCTGTGATTACAGTGGGAGAGCACTAGAGAGTTTTGGGGGGTGAAGGAACTCTTCTGCATCCTGATTTTGGTGGTGGTTATTCAAATCTATACATATGTTAAAATTCATAGATCTGCATACGAAAAACAGTCAAATCGATGATATGTGAATTTAAAAAAGTTATAGATAAGGCCTGACAAAATAATGAGCATGTGGAGAGCATCCTAGTGTCCAGATGTCTAAGCTGGCTTGGCCCCAAGTGCCAATTAGTGTTTTCTTGTTTTTCCTTTTTTCGTTCCGACTGGCATTTCTGTCAGAACACAGTACGTGTATGCGGGCCTGGTTCCTCACTTCCTGGCCCCTCACTCACTGCCTTTTTCCTTCCTCACGTCAGATTGGAGCCGGAGGGAGCATCACTGGGATGAAGTTTAACCCTCTCAATACCGACCAGTTTTTCGCCTCCTCAATGGAGGGAACAACTAGGCTGCAGGACTTTAAAGGCAACACTCTCCGAGTTTTTACCACCTCAGACACCTGCAAGTGAGTAGTTTATCTACTAGGGGAAAAGGCTCCTAACCTCTAGTGTAGTTCTGGCCAGAGCAGCCAGATCCTATTTCCTTTACCCAAACCTGGTGCAGGGAAGAAAGGACAGGTATTACCTTTCCCTCTTTTTCTCAAACTCTTTGGCTGCTCTTACTTTGGTCGAGGTGGATTACTGCTTTGGGAAGGTGTTCTGAATCCTCAGCTCTTCTCAGTGAAGGAAGGGCTTCTGCTCTTCTGTGAGTCATACCTATGTTAGACTAGACATTGACTCTCACTAGACAAGTCAATATGGTGTTGGCCTAGAAAGCCATTTAGAGAATGGAGCAGAAACTAAGGACTTAAGACTTAATTCCCTCCATTTACTGGAGTGTGATGACCTGACCAGTTCCTTGGTGGGAAGCTTAAATGGACAGAATCGAGTCCAGAAAGTACTGTGGATTCTGCAAGAGCAAGCGGCTGGAAAAATTACAAAATGCTTGTCACTTTGATTTCTCTTTTTTTTTTTTTTTTTTTTAAAGATGACCGGTAAGGGGATCTTAACCCTTGACTTGGTGTTGTCAGCACCACGCTCAGCCAGTGAGCGAACCGGCCATCCCCATGTGGGATCCGAACCCGGGGCCTTGGTGTTATTAGCACCGCACTCTACCGAGTGAGCCACGGGCCGGCCCTTCACTTTGATTTCTAGAGACACAATTCTAACTGCTCCCTAAGGAATTAAGTGTGGGTGTGGGGGTCGAACTAGTGCTGGATGTTGCTCTGGGCTGCCCCCACTAGAGTAAGAAATACATGAGCAGTTAGGTCAGGTGACTGGATAGACTCAGCTCCAGGTTACTCTTCCAGTGGAACCTTCCTGTTTAAAGATATTCACAGGGAATGACAAAAGGTAGTGGAGCATGGATTTGAGGGTTTGAGAGCAAAAATGTGAATCTGAGTTCTCCTGGCTGGACATCAGGATCCCTGAGGCACAGCCCGTATCTGTTCCCCTCATTCTCAAGTAGTTTGAGTTAAAAGAACTTCTGAGTTGTATATGCTTTTTCCCCTAAATGCTCAGAAGGGGGCAGAAGTTCCTTTGTAGCCAGCTCTGAGGAACATCTGGGTAATCCCTGTTTGGTTTGTCATCTCCTTTGGCTCACAGTGTGGAGAGTGGAGGGAGAGAACAGCAATGAGGCTTCCTCAGAACCCGGGCCGTGGGGGGCGAGCAAGCCTGGGCACTTGCCTTCTGGCTCTATGGTTGGCTGCTTCAGGGACTCTTACCAGCTGAGGCTCCTGGGCCCAGCAGTAGCTGGCCAATTTTTGATCCTTGTCACCCCATTCCCTCTGTCTGGCTGGTAGACAAGTCTAAGTTGTTCCTTACTGGGAATCCATGGCAAGATAGTTATTCATTCATTCAACAAATATTTACTGAACACCTGTGGTGGGTTAGATCCTGGAACTGCAACAGTGAATAAATGGACCTATCTCCATCCCCAAGAATCTTACCACACAGTCTCTCTCTCCAGCATCTGGTTTTGCAGCCTGGATGTTTCCGACAAAAGCCGAGTGGTGGTTACAGGCGACAATGTGGGGAATGTGGTCCTGCTGAACATGGATGGCAAGGAGGTGTGTTCTCTAGCCCAGGTCCTCCCTGTCCCTTCCTCACCCCCACCTCGGTTCTGCGTCCCCGCCTGAACCGAGCTCTTCTCTGCAGCTTTGGAATCTCAGAATGCACAAAAAGAAAGTGACTCATGTGGCCCTGAACCCATGCTGTGATTGGTTCCTGGCCACAGCCTCCGTAGATCAAACAGTGAAAATCTGGGACCTGCGCCAGGTTAGAGGGAAAGCCAGCTTCCTCTACTCGCTGCCGCACAGGCATCCTGTCAACGCAGGTGTGATATCCCAGATTTCATCTTTCCTGCAGACCCCGCCTTATCTGACTGCTTCAGGGGTTTTCCCTCAAAGTTTGGAAGCTGCTAGGTCAAACCTTTACCCCTGATAGCATCTGCCATGCTGATATCTTGGATGCTTTCTGGCTCTGGCTGCCCCCATTGGCTGCTGAGTTTCTAGAATATTTTTCTTTACAGCCCAGATTCACTTCTTCCCTTCCACTCCTATCTAGGGAGGAGTGGGAGAGAGGGTGCCTCTGCAAGAGCCCTGTGAAAGTCAGGACAATGGGGGGCTCATGGTTCCTTCAGCTCAGGGGCTTTTCATTTTGCCAGCTTGTTTCAGTCCGGATGGAGCCAGGCTTCTGACCACTGACCAGAAGAGTGAGATTCGGGTTTACTCTGCCTCCCAGTGGGACTGCCCCCTGGGCCTGATCCCGCACCCTCACCGTCACTTCCAGCATCTCACGCCCATCAAGGTGAGTGATGGAGGGAAGGAAGCTCACAGAGGGGAGCTGTGCCCTTGAGAACAGCCCAGGTCTGCCCAAGGTGGGGTGAGGGGACAGACATGGTAAGACTGCAGTCCCAGATCTCTTCTTGCCCTGACATAGAACAGTCCCTTGTCCCTTTGGCTCTCTCTGCTCCTTTTCCCCACTTCTGCAATCCCATTTTACTGAGTTTTCTTTATGTCTCTCTGATCAGCCCCGATCTCACTGGGGGCATTTTCTGAGATTTTGACCTTCTGTCTGTCCTGTCAGCTGCAGTTACCTGTGTGTGCAGTTGATCCACAAACCAACCCTCACCTTCTCAGTTTGTCTTGCAGATTTAGGTGGCTTCTGTAATAGAAATAAGTCCCTTATTATCCCATCTTTTCTCAGGTTCTTGTTTTTTTTTTTTTTTTTGTCTTTTTCCGTGTCCGGCAACAGATCGCAACCCCCAGTGTTGCCCCTGTACCGGACCGGGGACCGGCAACGGGATCGCAACCCTCGGTGTTGCTCCCACGCCTCACTCAGCCAGTGAGCGGCGGGAACCGGTCTGTATGTGGGATCCGGACCCTCGGGCAGGAGCGCCACCGCGCTTCCCAAGCGGCGCACTATCCAGTGCGCCACCGGGCCGGCCCTCTCAGGTTCTTGTTAATGGCTTCTCTGTCCTGTGTCCCCAAGATTTATAGCTTTCAAATCCTTTGATTCATTCTTGCCCAAGCCCCCCAGCAGCCTGTGCTCTACCAGTTCTGCTCTAGTTGTTCATATTCTTTTCCAGACCACAGATCTTCTTCAGATCTTAAAGTCTCATGCCAGGCCAGTGTAGCAGTGGGGAACACCAGCTTCAGGCAGTCAGACACCCCTGGGTTAGAATCTTTGATCAAATTACTTAAGTTTTGGAACTCTGCTTCCTCATCTGTAAAAAGGGAATAGTAGCATCTTAACTGGTGGCTGCTGTCAGGATGATCAGTGTACTTAAAGCACTTGGCACTATGCCTAGCACCTGCTAAGTACTCAGTAAATGATGACCTAGTATTGAGTGCCTCCCACGTACTCAAATCAAATCTAAGCTCTTAATAAATATCAAGAGTCCTTCACCAGTTGGTGTTCCCATTAATCCGTCTGTCCTCATCACTTACTTTGTATCCAGCCAGGCCAACTTACAGCCTCCCATGTGTGATTTGTTTGTGACTTACTTCCAAGCCGTCATATGTACAATTTCGTCCTTTCTGCTAACCATGTTTTTCCTCCCTCAAAACTTCCTTGAGAAATTTAATTAGGAAAATTCCATCCAATTCTGTCATTCCAGTAACTGCCAGATTTGTTTTGAGTACAGTAATCTGGGGAACATGGGTTTCCTCCCCCTTTTAGCCACTAGTGATTTTATTTATTAATTAAAAAAAAATTTTTTTTTTGGCAGCTGGCTGGTAGTCACTAGCCATTTTATACTACACTCAGTTTTCACATTGATGGAGGAGAGATGGTAGTGAGTTACTTCAGAACTTATGTCCTATTTAGTTCTGGTTACCAGAGGCTTTTTGCTGTGTTGTAGGCTTACCTCTTAGGTTAATGCCTAGGTCAGGCTGATGTTAAAACATTTATCAGTTGGTATGATCTCAAGAAATACAAAAGAGAGAGAAGGCCTGAAGGTATCCTAAGGGCTAGGGGGGCCAGCTGAGGATTAAAAATTTGCAATGGTGCATGCACACACAATTGAAAACCCTTCTTGTACTTCCATGTAGGCCTTACCTCCATTATTAAGTTGTTGGCTTGTTAGCGGCAGAGAATATTTTTGACGTCCCTCTTGAGAGTGTTCTGCATTTAGTCTCCTGACCAGCCTTTCCATTTCCTAGGCAACTTGGCATCCTCGGTACAACCTCATTGTCGTGGGCCGATACCCAGATCCTAATTTCAAAAGCTGTACCCCCTATGAGTTAAGGACAGTCGATGTGTTTGATGGAAACTCAGGGAAGATGATGTGTCAGCTCTATGACCCAGAATCTTCTGGTATCATTTCGGTGAGGCTTGGGCCCTCAAGTGATGGGAGGAATAGGGGATTCCATCTACCTTAATGACCAAAAATGACCAGACATTAGTCCTTGTGTGGCCTTCTCTATCTCTGCCAATACCTTCACCCCCTCCTCATACTGCTACTCTTGTCTCTGCAGCTCAATGAGTTCAATCCCATGGGGGACACGCTGGCCTCTGCAATGGGTGAGTAGGAGCAGGGTGTATCTGACTGGCCAAGCCCAACCCTACTTCCTGGTTTAACCTTGGGACATCGTCAGCCTAGCCTTGCTACATTCACCCAAGGGCAGAAGCCAGTAAAGAAGATGGCTAACAGACAGTGCTCTCTTTGGCCTAGGCCCTCCATCCCTCTTGCTTTGTCTTGGTCATGCCAATGCCTGGCTGATGTCCAGTTTCCTAGAATTTCCTAACCAAATCCTAGGTTCCCCAGGCTAGCCCCAAGCCCTCAAAGACTCATAATAGAAGGTGTAAGTCAGACTGCTCTCACTTCTCCTAGGTTACCACATTCTTATTTGGAGCCAGGATGAAGCTGGGACACGGAAATGAGGCACACTAAAGAAGGTGTGGGCCAAGCAAGGGGCTTGGAGCCCACCAACGGGTACACGTCCTGGGAAAAGAGGCAGTTGTTTGTTAAAGGGCCAAAGTATCCAAGTCTTGGGGTTGGAGCAGGGTCACTGTAGATGGGGCTGGGACTGGGACACTGGCATGTTACTGCTCTGAACTTAGCTCCAGAAACTTCTCCAGAGTTGGCGACCCAGCTGCCCCAAGGGTCTCTGCTGTTATCTAGCCTGGAACCAAGCTTAGCCTGGAACCAAGGTGCTTTTCTCCTCTCTCACGTCTGGTGGCAGAGTGCTCAGGTGGTGTGTTTGACTTATGCTCACTATTGACATGGACAATAAAACCATACCCAACTGAGCTTCTGAGTGATCTTTCAGCAGCAACCTGGTCAAAGGGCTCCTTGGGTCTCAAAAATGAAGAAAAGGCACAGAAACAGCACTAACAGTCCAAAACTTTCATTCTCTGGGAGCTGCCTCAGCCCTAATCTGGGCCACAGTCAAGAGCTGTCAGCTCACAACCTGCATTTACCTCAGGTCCCTGGAGACCCCAGCCCAACTGACAGCGAGAATAATTTCATAATTCTGTAGGACAAATCACTCCCCTTCCTCCCTCCCTCCCAAGTACAAACACCCTTCCAACTTGCTGAAGCTGAAGAGGTGACAAAGGTGTCTGAAGCATTATGTCTGACTCTAATGGTAGCTTCAACTGGACAAAGGAAAACTTGGCTGGCTGCTGGGTGCTGGGTGATCCGGTTCCTTGGTAGCCAACGTTTGTACCCCCAGTGTTGTGCAGTTTTTCCCACTAAAATAAGAATTGACAGGCAAGACGGACTCCGGGCTGGAAGGGAAAGCAGGGCTTGATGGAAAAGCAAAGCGGATCCAACATCAGCTCCATCGTTTTTTATCCCAGATTCCGAGTGAAACCTGAATACTTTCTGTATCTCAGATCCATAGGGAGCACGGAGGAGGCAGATCCTGTTTGGGGAAAGCCAGTGTCCAGAACAGTACTTGGTAAACATCAGGCATGTGAATGCTGAGTGACAGGTGCCATGGGCCAGGCCGAGCCCCACTCATTCATCTGGGAGAGGGTGATCAGAGGCAGGCCCAACCCAGTGTCTCCTGTCCGTGGGCTAGGGAGCAGCAACAGTCAGAAGCAAACGCCCAGCCCACCTCCCCTAATAAGCAGAGGGAAGGGGGCTGAGTGGTTGTCAGGCATGGTCCTCCCCATCTGCAACGTGGTGGTAGCCGGGAGGCTGGGCCTGCATCCGGAAGAGAACGGTGAGGAGCAGCACTATGAGGAGGAAGAGGATAGAGCCACACACTGCCAAGGCCACGACCACCTCTGCACATGGGGGGAGGGGGAGAGAAAGGCAATGTCAGCGTTCATTGAACAAATATTTGAGCGTCTATAATATACCATGTACTGTTCTGACACACACGGGGTATACAAGGGTGGTCAAGACAAAGTCTGTCCTCAAGGAGTTTACATTCTAGGAGAGGAGATCCAGTAACAAACAAATGATAGGAATGAAGTTAGTGATGAATGCTATAAAAAAAAAAAAAGCAAAGCAAGGTAGGTCAGGGATGGCATCACTGAGGAAGGGAGAATTTGAATAGAGGCCTTGAGTCAATGAGTAAGACATGCAAAGACCTGAGAGAAGAGTGTCCTGGGGCAGGGGTGGCGGACGCACAAGAAGCAAGTGTAAAAGGCCCCATGGAGGAATAAGCTTGGCATGTTCTAGGATCAGTGAGTCAATGAGTAAGACATGCAAAGACCTGAGAGAAGAGTGTCCTGGGGCAGGGGTGGCGGGCGCACAAGAAGCAAGTGTAAAAGGCCCCATGGAGGAATAAGCTTGGCATGTTCTAGGATCAGCACGAAAGTTAGTGTCATGAGAGCAGAGTAAGCAAGGGGCAGGTAGGAGACTGGGTAGGGGACCAGATCAAGCAGGCCGGGGAGACCATGATAAAGAACTTGGACTTTATTCCACATGTGAAGGGAAGCCACTGGAAGATTCTGAGAAGGACAGTTATGTGAACTTTTATGTTTTTTAAGAATTAACTCTGCTGTGCTTAGAGTCTGGTAGGGATAAGGACAGGGTGAAGGGAAGCCACTGGAAGATTCTGAGAAGGACAGTTATGTAAACTTTTATGTTTTTTAAGAATTAACTCTGCTGTGCTTAGAGTCTGGTAGGGATAAGGACAGAATCAGAAAGAACATTTGGAAGTTTTTAAGGGGTCAGCAAGAGGGAACGGTAGATGGACTAGGGAAGCAAGAACATGTATTTGAAAGGTTAAGTTGATAGGATCTGCTAGTAGATTGGATGAAGAGTATAAGAAAGGGTATTCAAGATAACTCCTAGAGTTGTACTATGCAACTAGGTGACTAATGTGGCATTTACTAAAATGGGGAAGCCTGGAAGAAGAGCAGATTGAGGGGGAAGAACATTTAGTTTTGAACATATCAACTTTTAGATGCCGTATTTGACATCCATGTAGAAACCTGAAGTTGGCAGCTGGATATATATCAAACTGTACGTAGCTCAGAGAAGAGGTCATGAATCTGCAAGTCATACATAAAAACAGAACTTGGCATGGAGATGGTATCTAAACCATGAGATTGGATGAAATCACTCTGGGAATGGGGATAGATGGGGAAAGGGCTGGGGACAAGTCCTGGGCCATCCATTGTCTAATAGGGAGGGAAAGCCCATAAAGAAGCTGTCTGTATGGAGAAAAACCAGGATAAGCCAAGAAAGTATTTAAGGAAGGAGTGACTGATTATGTAACACAGATGAGAGGTAACAGACACTGACTAAGAACGGATCACTGGCTTTGTTAAGAGGAGGTCATTGGTCTCCTTGGCAAGGGTGGCTTCAATGCAGTGGAAGGTGACACAAGACTGCCTAATGTGAGAATGAGAGAGTGGGCAGTGAGGAAGCGAAGGCAGAATCTAGGCAGTTCTTTCAAGGATTCCACTCCAGAGGAACAGAAACGGTGATAGCTGGAAAAAAATGTGGGCCTCAGAGGTCTTTGTGAGACTTATGAGATGGGAGTGTTCCAGTATAAAGGGAAACACTGAGGTACCTGAGGTCCTTGTGGGGGAGAGAAGAGATGGGCCCAGAGTGTAAATGGTGAGGTTGCTCCTAAGTAGTGGCTTAGAGCAGCAAGTAAGCTGGTAGATCTGGTGGTGGGAGAATGAGACAGTTTTCTCTTGGTTGCTCTTATTTTCTTAGTGACATAACTGGGGGCACCACCTGAGGTGAGGAGTAGGAAGAAGGTGTACAACGATCTTGGAGTGGGAAAGGGAACTGTCCAGGGAAATGGAGTAGGACAGCTGGAAGTGTGACAGCTCTTGAGATCTGTGTATGTGAATTTCAAGTTGGTCTGGGACTTGACTAGCACAGAAGCAGGGGCAGCCCACCTGTGTCTGCAGCACCGCTTGCCAGCTGGCACTCCTGCTGCCAGTCTTTGGGCACCACAGGCTCTGTGAGACGAAGGAAGTCCTGCAGGGGGCAGCGGTGAGAGCAGCCAGGCAGGATCAGCGGCCAGGGGTCCTTATTACTCTCATTCCGAAAGTACATCTCCACTGAGAAATTCCTGAAGGTTGACAGGAGGCAAGATGGGAGCTGCTTACCATGCCTGTAACTGAGTCCTTGGGCTGCCCTCGGCCACCACCCAAGTGCCCCTGCAGAGGACAGACTGGTAGCTCCACTCACCCATTATCTTCCTGGTACAGTTCAAACATGTGGCAGGAGGCGTAGGGGGCTTGTTCACCGTTGTAGACATCCAGTGCCATTTGCAGAGCAACCAGGGTAGTGTCGTGCTGGAAAGGAGAGGGGGTCCCCATGAGCACTGCTCCCCTGCACTCTCAGGAACAGAACAGGGAAGACATCCAGCTTCTTGCTTGATGTTAGCATGCTGGGGAGTGCAGGGGCTTACCGCAGAGTAAACCAGCAGCTTGGGGAGTGGGGAGGCAGTTGCCATTAGGGTCAGATTCTTCCGTATCTGAGCCAGCAAGACTCCTGAAGGAGAAAAGTCCCCAGTGTCAGTGGCTACAGCCATCACTCTTCTGATCAAACCTATCCGTGCTCCTCTCACCTCCTGCTAGTCCTGGATTGGGTCACCAAAGAACTCTTGAGGTCCATGGGGAACGTGTAGGAACTCTACAGCTCCCCTGCTCTCTAAGAACTTGCAAATTTACAGAAGGAAGCAAGATAAAACAAGATAGATATCTGTATTTCAATACAGATGTAGAAACTGTCCATTTAAAAATGACCTATGAGGCCCTGCCCATGTTAGAAGAATTACTCCAGTTTGGAATAAATGTAAACTTAAGATTGCTTCAGAGCACACAAGATGGTCTCCATGCCAGGCTAACTGCCATTGCAGGCTCTGACAACTACCGCAATGTCAGAAAGCTCTGACAGCTGGCACACCCGTGGGTGCTCAGATGAGGACACTGGCATGTGTATTACTCTCAGCCTTCTCTTGAAATGGCCCCCAGTGGATCCCTGGAGGTAGGTATTCATTTAGGAGAGAGAGGACCTTCTGACTGGGTGAAACTTAAGAATAATATGAATGTCAGAAAAGAAGCATGCAAACCTGATTATGGTCATACAGTGACACACAACTAAGCATCGGGAGAATTGGGGACACTTGGGTGACTAATGGGATGAGGGAGGATCTGGTTATG